GAACAGGCCCTCTGTGCAAACATTTCACGAAGTGGGGTTCATACAGTTGCAGCACACCAGTTGGTTGGAGTGCACCGAGTGTCGGAGCTCAGCGAATGCAGAACCCAGGGCCCTTCAGAGTTGGTTAGGCCCTGGGCTCATAAACGTGAGGCCGACAATGCACGCTGGATATAGAGGCCGAAAATGCAAAAGGGAAACCGGCCCACTGTCTGAATCTGGCCGCAGGCCTTGACGAGAGAGGCACAACTGCATCTCCCGGGCCCCAACTGTAATGGGCCTGGGTTCAGCCACTGGGGCCCAGTCGCAGGCTGAAGGGAGGCCGCCCACACGCAGCACTGGCATATAGGCAAGCAGGGCGAGTGGGCAGGATCTTTGGCCAATGCGGGCATTGCCGGCACGCTGCGCGAATGCGAGCTGCTGCGCTGCTTTGCTGCGCTAGGCGGAGGTGAGAGGCAGGCCAGCGCTAATGCGGTAGGGCGCTGCCTGTGGGCGCAAGGCACTGGCGGCCATAGCCGGGCTGCCTGTGTGCGCAGAAGAGGTGAGGGCGAAGGTGGTTCTTCGGAGGTGAAGGGCGCTGTGTGGGGAACAAGGGAGAGTGTGGGGAAGAGGACACGTACCTGGTGGAGGTGGAAGTCGGCATTGGTGTTGACATCATCACTCGCTGGTAGTCAAGTTGTCTGGTTTCTTTTCATTGCTGTAGTTGTAGGATAGGCTGTAGAGTAGATAGGGCGCCTGGCGCCATTCAGAAGAGAGAGCTACATTTGGGTTATGCTGTTGGTGTTGCCCTGTTGGGCATGGACATTGACTCACGATTCTTCTGTATCATTCTCAATTGGATGGTTACTCGGTTCCATGTGCTATCTGCTTTGGCTTTGACTACTTGGACTTCAGTGTGATTTTGCATTCTGGATTTCTGTGCTTCGTCCATACTCATGTTCCTTGCAAGTGTTTATTCCTCCACTTTTTTGTTCTTTTTTTCTTTGTGGGCGCAGGACAGGCATCGAGGCCATCGGGCAAAAAATAGTAAATTATTTTTTTGCCTTTGTGGGTGCAGGATAGGTGTTGACAGCCGAACTTTGTCGGATGCGTTGGAGAAAGGTGTCGAGGCGATCGGGTTTTCTCTGGGAAATGTACGGTTGCTTGTCCCAGTGGGGCTGATGCTTCTTGGTTGCTTCTCCCAGTCGGAAACGGCGGAGAAAGGACTTCACCTGCAGGTATGCATGCAGAAGTGCGAAGCGGGTATATGGATGAACCTGGTCAGTTTCATGACTACATTCCTTCTTGTGAAACGGATGAACCTGGTCGGTTTCATGGCCACATGCGTTCTAATCGCAATCACATCTGACATGAGACTGGTCCACTTGCTGTTGTGTCTGCCGTCCTTCTGGTTTTGCTAACCGTGAATGGATGAACCTGGTCGGTTTCATGGCCACCTGCATTCTAACCGCAATCACATCTTACATGAGACTGGTCCCCTTGCTGCCATCCGATATCTGACCACGCCGGCTACAAAACTTCAAAAAAAAAAAAGTTTGTTGTCGTCTTGGGGTTTTCAGCAGCACCAGGGGGCAAGTCCCACTAGCAGCATTGAGCTACCTCAACGCCTGAATCTGGACGTTTTTGCTGAGATGTGCAGAAATGGTGTTGAGTTTCCTGAACTGCACGTCTCCACAAACACGTCCAGATTCAGGTGTTGAGGTAGCTCAACGCTGCTAGTGGGACTTGGCCCCAGAACTGTCCCCCGGAAATTTGCCAGGTGGTGATGCTGCGGTTGGTTTGGGCCCAGGTTTTGTTGATTTGGTCTGGATCAGTCTGCTCTTTTTTTCTTTTTTTCTTTTCTTTTTTTTTCTTTTTTTCTTCCTTTTCTTTTTTTTTTTTTTTTTCGTTTTTTTTTTTGGTTTGATCAGATATTGAAGTGATCATAAAAGAAAAACTACACTTGATCTCTTATCCGCCAAAAGGCCGAGAAAGGTATTGGATGAGTCTGCTCTTTTTTTCTTTTTTTTTTTCCAATAATTTGCCATTTTGGACCATTTCTCTTCTTCTTTGTTTTTTTTTATCCGTGTCATCCTCGCGTACGGTGGGTCCATGGTTATCAATCTTCGTTTTTTTTTTTTTTTTT